AATTACAAGACCCATTCATCATTTAAGTGGGGGTAGAGACTCTTCTTTTAAATTTATAGAGGCATAACAAACCCCCCCCCCCCCAATAAAATGCAATCTTGATAACTCCATGGGCATCGATGACATAGAATCTATAGAATCAACCATAAATAGATTAAAAGATTCCCCGGAAGCTGCAGCCATTATGTCATTAAAACCAAACTTACCTAAAAAAACATGTAAAAGTAATAAAAGCCCTGCTAAACATAAAATGAAATGATTTGATAACAAGTTGATAAATATGCGCTCAAAACTAGTTAGGAAGGGAACTTTATTTGGCCACTACCCCAGTGATATCAATATTAAGAATCAATATTACAAAGCATATAGAATATACAACAAGCTACGAAAACATACATACCATTCTAATATCATCAACAACCTAAATGCTTTAGTTTCAATTGATCCAAAAAAAATTATTGGAAACTTCTAGACAAATTAAGAACTGGAAATACAGGGACAATTGATTCATCAATCTCTAATAATGAGTGGTTAAACCACTTCAAAAATTGAATAAAACTCATGAGGATTTCCTCGATCGAGATCAGTTTCTTAAAGACCAACTAAAACAAGCTGAGAAAACAACAACACCCATATTTAATGATCTTGACTAAAAATATCTTTCAATGAAATAAGTAAAGCAATAGGTAAACTAAAAAATGGTAAGGCAGCTGGTACTGATAGAATATGTAATGAAATGCTTAAAGTATAAGTCACATTATCCAACGATGGGGTACACGATGAGAAACCGATGCGTTTTTTGATGAAAATGGCGTGGTTGCCGGCCGGGCACCACTAGTGATCGGACGGCGACTGAGCCTTTTTTGCGAATCGGTGGGGTCATCGGTAGGAAATAATTCGTAGTTAAAATTCAGCGATGTCTCCAACGATGCCTCACATCGCTCCTCATCGGCTACCCATCATTAACACATCTTTCAAGGATCGGCCGATGTATGGCCGAGAATCGTCCAATATATGTTGAATCTGAGGTCATCGGGGAGTTTAATGTTGTTCAACAGATAACCACCGATCATCGGTCGATGTTCGACAAAACATTGGCCCGTAGTCGACCGATGTACGAACAATTTTCACCAATGTATTAGCGATGTAATATACATCGGCCGATTATTCTGGAACATCGTTTTATGATTAGCAATGCATCGCTGGGCCTTTGTAAGTCCGGCCGGCAACCACGCCATTTTTCTCATAAAACACATTGGTTGTACATCGTATACCCCATCGCTGGATAATGTGACTGATACTTGAAGGACTACTTGGCCGATGTGGACCGATGTTGAGGCATCATTAACACCACGGATTACTACCGATTACCACCGGTCTACGGCTACCGGCCGGGAAATGTGACCTAGGCATAAACAAGGTCAAATGGTTCTGGTACCAATATTACTGAAAATCTTTAATGGTTGCTTAACTCATGGATATTATCCTTCTTCATAGTGTGAAGGATACATCACTTCAGTATACAATTCTAACAACACTAATGATCCCAACAATTATAGAGGAATCACAATAACCAGCTCAGTTGGCAAACTGTTTAACGTCATTCTTAACTCAAGATTAGATAAATATTTAAAATGCAATCCTTGTCAAATAGGATTTACAAAACAAGCTAGAACTTCAGACAATATTTTTGCCTTGAAAACACTTATTGAAAAAATACTGCAAATCAAAACAAGGGAAGCTATATGCTTGCTTTGAAAGTATAAACCATGCTGGTCTGAAGCTTAAACTTTTAAAAGCTGGAATTAGCACCAAATTTTACTCAATTGTTAAGGATATGTATTCTAAAAGCTATTCTTCTATTAAACTGGGTAACAAATTAATCGGTTACTTCCGTACTTTCAATGGGGTTAGACAAGGTGATAACATGAGCCCAAAACTATTCAAGAAATATCTCAATGATCTATCAAATTATCTGTCAAATTCTAAAAGTTTTGTAAAATTAAACAATGATTCAACAATGTCCATTCATTGCCTCATGTATGCTGATGACATGGTACTTCTCTCCCCAACTGCTGAAGGTCTACAAGAAAAACTCAATATGCTAACTACATACTGAAAGGACTTGTGTCTCAAAGTTAATACAGAGAAAACAAAAATTATAGTCTTTAATTCATCTGGTAAACACGTTAAAATTCCCTTCCATTTGGATAACAAGTTGTTATAATGCAAGATGTATTTATTTTATCGAATATTCGAATATATTCGAATACTACAATCGAATATTCGAATATCAATTATTGACAATTTTGACATCCCTATTAACAACAATATTGAATGTGTTAAACAATACAAGTATCTGGGTCTGACTCTTAATGCATCTGGAACACTAAGTAATGCTAAAAATGATTGTTGTAACAAAGCCAAAAAAAGCCTATTTCAAACTTCAAAAAGACTTTCTCACATTTTATCCATCAATTAGAACTACTTTACATGTATTTGACCACACTATTAAACCCATTCATTATCCTGTATGTTTTGGAGTTATGGGCTTTGTTGATCCAACAACTTCTAAATTTAAGAGAAATCCAAATATAACACTAGACAAAATATACCAAAGTTTAGAAGGCGAAATTCTAAATCTTAAATTTTACAAACATTTACTAAGGGTTCATGGTAAAAGCAGCAATTTTGCTGTAAGAACTGAGCTAGGACGTTTGAATTTACATTTTGATGTCATTAAAAATATGTTGTTATACTGGCATAGATTAGAGAATCTAGATGGTGAATTTCCCTTGCTAAGTAAGGTTTTTAATTGCTCTAAAACACTACACCAAAATGGTTTTACTTTATAATATTCTTGTGTTAACTTCTTACTTAAACATATTGATATTAAAATTAGTGATTTTTAAGGTATGTCAACCCCACAATTTAAAATCAATTTGAAAAGAATATTACTGAATTTCTATAAATTTACATGGGGAAAAGACAGGAATTTACATAAAGATGGCAAATTGTCTACCTTTACCAGCATAAAGACTAAATTTTGTATAATTCACAAAATTTATTTTATTTCTATGCTTTAAGTATACATTCTTTAACTGCGTTGAAAAAGTTCATATATATATATATATATATAACGACTCGGTTCGTTACCACGCGGGTCGAACACGGAATCGGGTCGTAACCACTCGACACCCCCAGGCAGAAGACGCGGGTCTTGTGAAACGGGATGTTTATTCAGGTGACAATAAAACTGCAACGTGATAATTGATGTACAATTAGCTTTTTGATGTCTATATGCTATTAAAATGATTATCATTGACTGTATTACGATAATTTAGAAACGCAGTGTCCCTGAGAAATTGTACTTGCATATTACAAGACGAAACATTTCATTTTAATTTCGAATCAGTGTAAAAGTTTAACGAGTTAAGAAAAATTCAGAAACAGCCTCAATGTCAATATGAGGACTATTGTTGGACAAATACTTACAGAACTTCGTTCAATGCACATGTTTGGAAAAGTCACAATGCTATGTACCACCCGACGCTGGTAAAATGTCGTTTTCATATAACGAATGCGTGGTATGATGTCCGTATGATAAAGAATAACTACATAAACATGAACTGATTATGTATATTTTAGCTTACTCAGTTGAATAAACATTCATCTAAAAAAGAAAACAAAACGTCGTTTTATAAAAACCACGTGTGAAACGTTAGGACTGCATGAAAATCATTACATCAGGTAAGACTAATTTAAAACCTGTCCAACAAACCCGGAAAATTCCAGACTCTTGAAAACTCGAACTCTTGGTCTCTCTCGTTTTTCCTCGGTCCCGCGGACTTTGAGGTATCGAGAGTTACCTATATATATATATATATATATATATATATATATATATATATATATATATATATATATATATATATATATATATATATATATATATATATATATATATATATATATATATATATATATATATATATATATATATAGTTAGGTGCAAAAAAATCCGGATTTTTCTATGCATATTTTTCATATGCATGTTTATTTAAATATATAATTTTTAAACATTATTTTCATATCTAAAAATAAAAGAGGTACCTTTAGAGTTATTCCCCTTGTTTCTATGTGACGTCACGTGATGATGCTTTTGCCAGACGACATATCTTCGGATTACAGTGATGTCAGAAATTGACAACAGAAAACGTCTCCTAAATTTATATGAAAGCGGAATCACTTCGGCGCAAAAATTGTGTGAAATAACAAACATACCTAGGTCTACTGTGTATGATAATTTGAAAAGATTTCGTGAAGGGAAGTCCGAGATACGGGTTCAAGGATCTGGTCGAAAGAAAATTTTTGACGTGAATGACAGCAGACGGGCTGCACAACTTGCTGCTTCTCATCCGCAATGGTCAGCACAGCAAATTGCCAATGAATGTGCAAGAAGGGGATCCGTTTTAGTTTCAAAATGGACTATGGGTCGGACTTTGGCTCGCAGAAATTATTTCAAATCGGTCCCTTTTAAGGTGCCACTAATGACCGCAGAACATAAGCGTAAAAAAGAGGCATGGTGCATCGTTCATCAGAATGACAATTTTGACAATGTGATTTTTACGGACGAAAGTCGATTTCAGTTCTACAGATGTACCCGAAAAAGGTGGGCAAAATTTGGATATTGTCAAAAAATGGTGCCGAAATTCTCACCAGCTGTTACGGTATGGGGTGGAATAAGCAAGTTGGGTTTAACTCCGCTTGTTTCTGTCAGTGGAAATATTTCTGCAGTGAAGTACTGTGAAATTTTGGAGGAGGGGTTGTTATCATCCAATATTGTGACAAACGATCTACCTTATGTTTTACAACAGGACAACGCTAGACCGCACACCGCAAGGTATACCCGTGACTGGTTTACACAGAATCACGTGACCGTAATGGACTGGCCTGCTGCGTCACCGGATTTAAATACGATAGAAAATGTTTAGCGGATCATGAAAGATCGTGTGGAAAAAAATCAGCCAGATTATATCACAGACTGGAAAGTTACAATCATGGAAACATGGATGGGTTTGGATCAGAACTATATAGACAGTCTGGTAGAAAGTATGCAACGGCGCATCGCTCTGTGTATAGTGAGACACGGGGGTCTGACTGACTATTAAGTTCATGCATTGTAAATTCAGTGGTTCTATATTCATTATTTTGCTTCCATTTGGGAATATTGTTGCAAAAATAAAAAAAAATACTTAAGTTGAAATCCGGATTTTTTTTGCACTTTACTATATATATATATATATATATATATATATATATATATATATATATATATATATATATATATATATATATATATATATATATATATATATATATATATATATACACATGTATATATATATATATGGATGGTTGGTTAATCATCCCCCACCCCAATTTTTTTTTGCAAAGATATGTATTATATAGGCACTGAAAATCGAGGTTTATCTTTTTTGTTGGTTAACCCCCCCACCCCCACCCCCACATTTAATTTCCTTCCGATGCCTATGTATGAGTTTGAAGCGAAACAATGGCCTGTGATGCTTGAACTATATAAATTTCAAATAAAGTAAAAGTAAACCATATAAACGTTCTGAAAGTTTTGTTTCGTTTCGACAGGTTTCGTTTTGATTTTGTTTCGTTTCGGTAGGTTTCGTTTCTTTTCGGTAGGTTTTGTTTCGTTTTTGTAGACATCGTTTTGTTTCGGCAGATTTCGTTTCGTATCATTTCGTATCGTTTCGTTCCTATTTCGTTTCGCACTTTACAGGTACCCTCACCAAGTTTTCTCTCCTCATAAAATCAACACAGAACAGCTTCATGATATGTTTTGTTCTCTTTTAGCATTATCAATTTCAACAAAAGAACACGACTTCACAATGAACCAGACACCAGAAGCTGTATCCTGTCCTCCTATGAAACCACTGCTTGATGAACCTGAGCTTATCACTACCATGGACACTGAGCGGGAACTTCTAGGTAGAATAACCTGTCTCCGTGATGAAGAATTCTGGTTTTGTGGAATCTACAGATACATTTTCCTTCTCAACCTCCAGGGCAAATTAATAAAGTCATTCACAACCAAGTCAAAGAACCGACCAGAGGACATAGCAGTGACAAGGAGTGGAGATCTAGTTTACACTGACCCTGGTAAAAGAACTGTAAACAAAGTGGAGAATGACCAGATACAGGAAGTGATCAGACTACAGGGGTGGATACCTAACTATGTCTGTAGTACCTTCTCTGGTGACTTCCTGGTTACCATGGTCAGTGATGATTATAAACAATCAAAAGTTGTCCGTTACTCCGGCTCCACTGAGAAACAAACCATTCAGTTTGATAGTGAAGGCACACCTTTATATTCATCTTGTTCCTCCGTCAGTGAGAACAGGAACCTGGATATCTGTGTGGCTGTTGCCGGTGCAGTAGTGGTTGTTAATCAGGCAGGAAAACTGAGATTTAGATACACTGGGCATCCCTCTACGACAAAGAAATCATTCAGTCCAAGTGGCATCACAAAAGACAGCCAGAGTCAGATCCTGACAGCAGACTGGAACAACCACTGTATCCACATCATAGATCAGGACGGACAGTTCCTTGGTTATATTGATAACTGTAATCTAAAGGATCCATGGGGTTTATGTGTGGACACCAGAGACAACCTCTTCGTTCTTGAGTTTAGCAGTGGTAAAGTGAAGAAAATCAAATACATGTAGCGACTCAGTAGCTGGAACTGTTTGTGACAAGAGTTAAGACTGTAGATAAAGGAAAGAAACATTGTTCAAATACTTCTAACATTATTCAAATACTTCCCGACACTAGCAATAATAATACACGTTGAGATTGAATACTGTTCGTTATTTCCATATCCTTCATGTAATTGATATATCAAACCTAAAGTAAAATATTGGCTTATCTTGATCAATAAATAATTGAAAATACATCCTTAAAGTTTGTAAAGGGGCTCATTACTTAAGCAGAATCTTCCAATCTAAACATTTGGGGTAAAAATCCTTTGAAGCAAGAGCACCACTAATTTTGCGGAGCATCCCCTTGCGACAGGTACTTTACTGGTAATGACAATGTCTTATGAGAGACAAATTGTCTAGAGGGACTTAAAACATGTTAATGATTAATATTACAACACATTTTGTTTAATGTCCCTCTTAGCAATTTTTTTGCTCCTATGATGGCTTTTCCTTGGAGAACTGCACATTTTTTGGAAGAGGCTTTCTTCATCATAAATATATACATGTACTAAAATCATTGGCACAAAATCTAGGAACAAAGGAAAGGTTTTTTTAAGAATTCCTGCATTGTCACTATAAAAACATTAAAGCCTCTTCCTAACCCAAGAAGCCCTGACCCAGGGGCTCTGAAATTCACATATCTCAAAGAGGCATCCTTCTTCCTCATAACTATGGTGGTGGAGTATGTCTATATATAAACAATAAACTAGCATACACACGCATAGAGGATGAGACCACCTCGGATGAAGAGATACTCCAGTTAACATCTCCCTTCCCAAGTCGAAGCCTATTATTTTAGCCGTAGGATATAGACCACCGAATCAGTCCAGTTTTGTAGAAAAATTTTAAAACACTCTTCTAAAACTTAGGACCGATTGTGAGACATACATTTTAGGTGATTTCAACATCTCTTATCAGCAGCAGAGCAATATATTGGAAGCATATAAACATGTGTTAAATCTGTTCAATCTTAAGCAGCTGATCAACAGTCCTACAAGAATTACATCAAACACCAGTACTGTTATTGATCATATACTGTGCAACTCACCTGAAAATGTCATTCAGTCTGGAACCATCTCAGTTGGTTTAAGCGACCACCTACTTACCTATGCGTCACGGAATATAAGTCCAGGTGTTTTTAACACGCATAATACTGTCCGTATAAGATCATTGAGAAACTATTCGGTGGACGACTTTCTGCAACAGCTGGCAGAAGTGCATTGGTCTGAATGTTTCAATACAGAGTGTGTTAATACTGCATGGAATGCTTTCCAGAAAAATTTTCTTATCAGTTTTAGATAATGTTGCACCTATAAAGGAAGTTAGAATTAAACAAAGAACAGAGGAGTGCATGGATTCTAAAATTTTAAATTTAATTCGCCAAAGAGATCATCTTTTATATTATTTTAACATGTCAAAGAAACAAGACAACTACAAGAATTACTGTAAAACTCGTAACATTGTTCAAAGAGAAATACAAAGGGCAAAATCTGAATATTTTAAAAATAAAATAGAGGAAAATAAGAAAAATCCTAAGAAACTTTGGCAATGCATTGAAGACCTAGGTTTGAAAAATAATAAGGTGAAGAAAAACTTAATTTGAAATTAGAAAATGGCATCTGTCATAACCCACAGAAGATAGTTGATAGCTTTGTGTGTTTTTTTACCAATGTAGCTTCAAATCTAGTGTCCAAACAACCAACATGTACAAACACATTTTCTGTCAGCAGTCAATGTTTTAAGTCTTTTTATTCACTGAGAAATGTGAAAGGAGCTAAATTTATATTAGCAACGGTGACTGAGGATTATATTCATAAGGAATTGATTTCTCTAAACACATCAAAAAGTACAGGTCTTGATGATTTACCAGCAAGATTCATCAAGGATGGTGCACATATTTTAAAGATTCCAATTACTTTCATAATAAAATTGTCTATAACCTCAGGGGAGGTACCAGAGGGCATGAAAATTGCACGTGTTAAACCATTGTACAAAAAGGGAAGATCCCCTTGATGTTGGAAACTACAGGCCGGTTAGTATTCTTAGCATTGTGTCAAAAATTCTGGAAAAGAGTGTTCATGTACAATTTTCAAATTTTTTAAGCGAAAACAACCTTTTATTTGAGTTTCAATCTGGATTCAGAGATAAATATTCAACTGATACTTATTTAATTCATCTTCTTGATCACATTAGAGACAACAATGCTAAGGGTCTGTTCACCGTCATGGTCATGCTTGACTCACAAAAAGCTTTCGACACTGTCGACCATTCCATACTATGTAAAAAGTTAGAAACCCTAGGGGTCAATTCTTTGAGATGGTTTAAATCGTACTTAGGTGATAGAAAACAATTTGTCTGTGTAAATGGTGCCACATCAAGTCCTGGTTATGTTACATGTGGTGTACCTCAGGGCAGTATTTTAGGCTTACTTTTGTTTTTGATTTATGTAAATGACATGTCTTTGAGTATTGACAATGACTGTAAATTGATTTTATATGCAGACAATAGTGCCATACTCTTTTCCCACAAATGTACCGATTATATAGCTAAGAAACTCAGTAAAACACTTGAATCTTGTTCAGACTGGTTGGTTGATAACAAATTATCATTACACTTAGGCAAAACAGAGTGTATGTTATTTGGTCCGAAACGAAAACTCAGTAAAGTTGATGATTTTTTCATTGTGTGTAAAGAGCATGTCATTAAGGCTTCTCAACAAGTAAAATATCTTGGTCTGTACATTGATTCCAAATTATCTGGTGAAAATATTGTATCTTCCCTTGTTCAAAAGGTGAACTGTAGATTAAAACTTTTGTATAGACAAGCAAGATTCTTGGATCAAAAGAGCAAATTCTCATTATGTACAGCACTTATCCTCTGTCACTTAGATTATTCATGTAGCTCTTGGTACTCTGGACTGTCAAAAGCTATGAAACGTAAATTACAAATTTGCCAAAATAAGGTCATTCGATTTATGTTGGATTTATCCCCGATGCATTCCATCAATTATAATATTTTTGAGTCTATTAATATGTTGCATGTGGATAGAAGAGTGAAGAAGGAGACTGAATCATGTTTTTAATATTGTTCATAAGAAAGCCCCTGTTTATCTTGAAACAAATTGTACAAGTTTAAGTAATAATTACTATAATACTAGATCCTCTAAAAGCCACAACTTTAAATTGCCATCGATTAGACATTGCCAAGATAAGACTTTTTATTACAATGCCATCAAAGATTGGATTGACTTGCCTCTTTTTATTAAGAATTTAGAATGTATTGAAACTTTGTAAAAAAAAGTGTAAAAAAGCCTCTAATGGAGGATTTTAAAAGCTGTGAAGAGAGTTCGTTTATATTTTTTTGATTTTTAACAACTATGAATGTATTGTTTTATTTTAAATGCTTTGTGTAATTTATTTTTAAATTTGATACAGGGTTTTTATAATACCTGTCCTTTCTGAATGAGGTGCCTTGATTAATGTATCTGCCAAAATCTTGCCTACATCCTAGTAATTAATTGTGTTGTTTAGTTAGTTTTTTTGTTTTATTTATTCACTTATTTATATATAAAAAGGACCCCATTGGAAATAAGCAATTTTGCTTTCATGGGTTATCCTTAGGCTTATTGATTAATGTCATGATATCACGATGATCATACTGCATAATTTTTATTCATAAAATTTATAAATGTCAAAAATTGCTTTATATTTTAAACATTCGGAAAAGGACACCTGCATTTTATAATCTATATAGCCCCGCCCTAGAACTAGAACCCCTGACCCCGGGGCCATGAAATTCACAATTTTAAATAAGGCAGTCATTTTCAACTCAACTATGCACTTGGTTAGATTATTTAATACCCAGAAGCAGAAAATAAGAATTTCAAAGAATTAATGTATTTTCACTATATAACCTATATAGCCCAGCCCTAGTACTAAATCCCCTGACCCTGGGGTCATGAGTTTAACAATTTTGGTAGCGGACTCAACAAAAATCATTAATGTCCCTACCATACATGAACCCCTGATCCTAAGGGGTACCTGTAAAGTGCGAAACGAACTGAAACGAAACGAAATCTACCGAAACGAAACGAACCCTACCGAAACGAAACAAAATCAAAACGAAACAAAACAAAACTTTCAGATTGTTTACATGGTTTATTTTTACTTTATTTGAAATTTATATAGTTCAAGCACCACAGGCCATCGTTTCGCTTCAAACTCATACATAGGCATCGGAAGGAAATTGAAAGAGGGGGGGGGTTAACCAACATAAAGCTTAACCCCAAATTTCAGTGCCTATATGATATATATCTTTGCAAAAAATTGGGGTGGGGATGATTAACCCAACCACCCTCACCCCGTTTCCGACGCCTATGTCATATTTTGTTAATATCTTACTGAAAAATTTACTTACTTACTTAAAAGTGACATAGTTCGCTTCGAGAGATTTTTTTCTTGTCAGTTAGATCGATTTAGATGTCTCTGGTCGAGGCTTTTTATTGCAAACCACTCATTTCTTCCTCTAAAATTACCTCGATAAAAATAGGACCGTATGTAGGTAGAAAGGATACACAAGATTTCGGTCGAAGTTACATGAACAACTGAACGGAATAACTAGACGCCTCAGAATGGAATACTAAATACTCTCAGTCTCTGGTTTATCTTGTGTTTTAAGATATTCGCAATACAACAGTACAGTGACTTTATTTCGACCCGTACATAAATGAGCCTTTACATGTAACACATCAATTTTAATAGATATGTTGTATCTAGATAAATAAGGACTGAAAATAAGAGTAAGATATAAAAATTGTTGAAATTATACATGCATAGTATGCTCGTGCATATTTGCAGCTGGCAAACATGTAAATACATCATTAGGCTGAGAAGGGAATTTTGTTTCGTTTCGTTTCGGCAAGTTACGTTTAGATTTCGTTTCGTCTTGATTTCGTTTCGTTTCAGTAG